ATCGAAATATATTTCACCTCGTGAACACCAAAAGTTCACATTTCACTCGTGGCTGCGCCACTCGTGAAATATACCTTTTGGTGCTCACTCGGTGAAATATATTACGATCTTACACTGAACTAAACAAATATCCTCTATTTAGTGTCCTGCTTGATGAAGAAATGAATTCTCATGTACATTCATTGTAGAAATACATTTGTATGTAATAATTATAATGTTCGAAACTATTAAACTGTTTCTTGATATTTTGATTATTATATTTAATAAAAAGAAACATCTTTATTGAATGCATCAAAATAGCATCACGATAGTATTATTTATATTTATAGAGGTAACTCTAAGCAACTTTAGAAATGCTGTGTTTTCAGTTGTTTTATATTCGTTAACTTGTAGTGTTAACGAAAACAAAATTTAATTGCTAAAAACACCCCTATTACAACTTTTCTTGCCACACTTATGCTACGTCTTACAAAATTGAAAGCATCCACCGAACATAAATGATCTTTCAGTATCACAAACCTACATGAACAAAACTGATATGTTTAATAATTAAATTATTTAAGTATTTGCTTGATATATTAAGATGAATATTAAAATATGTTATAGGTAGCCTCAATTTCGAAATGAAATTCTGATAAGTACGTGAAGACCAGTGCTACAAAAACAAGAATTTATCATCGTCCCCCGCCTTTTACATGGAGCACATAATCGTGCTATTTCAAAGGATTGAGGTATGAACCTCGACTTTCAGTGTAAAGTCGTGTTCAATGTTAGATATGCACATGCAACAATAAATTCATACATAAGATTATTTAAATCTAGGCACGGAAAAGCAATGGAAAACAAGAACTTTTGCAAACCCAAAGATACAAGGTAAAGTTATTATCTAAAAATGCAATAAACGTTGTTGTTATTACACAGAAGTATAATTTTCGCAATTGTTAATATTCATTGATGTCGTAACGATATTTATTGTTGTTAATTTACTACTTCAAAAATATACAAAAATTAACTCGAAAAAAATCCCAATTAGAAATTAATGATATTTTGCCCCTAATTCCTGGTTCCTGACAGCAGTCAAAAAGCAATGTTGATTAAAGAACACAACAATGGAAATTACAAGATTTTGATTTGAAATTATTAAATATTCTGGACAATACTTTTGACTTTAGAATTGGTGCAATTTCGTCTTGCGGAACTCTTTAGACTCGCTGCAGTATTGGACTTGCTACGCTCCTTAGACTTGATTCGCTCCTTGAACTTGGTGCATTCATATGACTTGCTGGCTTTAGATTCGCTGCGCTCTCTTTGGAGTTCATACGCTCCTTTGACTTTCTGCACTCCTTACACTTTCTTCTCTTATTGGACGTGTTGTGCTCAATAGATTTGTTTTTTCCTGTGAACCGGCGGAAATTATTGTCAGTACCGACTTAAGTGACCGACATAAGCAGAATTTAACATGAAAAAGTAGCCTTTTGAATTTTGAAACATCCGCAGATGTGTTCGTTGTAACACCATATCAATGTAACACGTTCGTGCCATTCCATAAAAGGCGGGGTATGGTCTCCACGTAGAATTATGCGTGTACCCTAAACAAGAAAACAATTGGCAGAACTTAATAAAATGGAATTTTGAAACGGAATCATGTAATGAAGCATACACAGATCACAGATAAGCCGCCAAAAGATATTTTTAAAGAACAGGCCATTAGGGTAATTAAACAATATTTCAGTAGGGAATACTGGAACCTCCCAACAAGAAAATAGCTAAAAAGAAAACTTTAACAAAACACAAGCACAACAAAAATGTTGTGCTGATCAATCGTTAAGGATCGGAAATATAACATCCATGATTGAATTTACGGGTCCACTTTTTATGGCCTTCATTAGGCACAAGACACACACAACGTTGTTGTGGCCCTAACGAAGGGAGTAATATAGAATCTCTAAAGAACGCACAAAGCGACAACAAATAAAAATGCTGCAGACTCGGTTTGATTGAGGCTGTTCATGGACGATAATAACTCTTCACTAGAAAGCAGACCGTTTTGTACCCTTGCTGCTTTATTTGGTTCCTTCGCTTGTCCAGTAAATTGGATCAGACCAAAATACAGACTTGCTGAACATAAGCTACCTGACAATAATGAACTTACTTAATAATTTTTCTGCTCGTTCAAGTCATTTGCAATTTCATCTCATACACAACTCACGAACCGGAAACAGTTGTGCTTGCACGTCAAATTACTTATTTTTCTAAATAAAATCGCTATTTTGACAGGGAACTTTGAAACTACTTAAAAAAAGCAACAAATAACTCGAAAATTTCTAATTTGAAATTAATGGTATTTGCCCCTAATTCCTGGTTCCTGACAGCAGCCAAAAAATTTGTCGGTTCAGGAACACAACAATGGAAAGGAATTCTTATTGATATTCAGGACAACAATTTTGACTTTAGAATTGCTGCAATTTCGTCTTGTAGAGCTCCATAGACTTGCTGCAGTATTGGATTTGCTACCCTACTTAGACTTGATTCGCTCTTTGGACTTGCTGCAGTATTAGACTTGCTGCACTCATTTGACTTGCTAAGCCTATTGGACTAGTTACAATACTAAGCATGCTGCGGTCTTTAGATTCGCTGCACTCCTTGGACTTCTTACCCTCCTTAGACTTGCTGCAATCCTAACACTTGCTTCTGTCATTGGACGTGTTGCGCTCCTTAGATTTGTTTCTCCGTGTGAATAGGGACCCTCTAAGACTTGCTTCTTACCTGGAAAGCGACTCTCCCAAAGACTTGCTTCTTTTCTGGGAAGCAAAAAAATTTAGGAATTTTAATAGGGACCTCTCTAATAATTGCTCTTTTTTTGGAAAGCGGGACGTTGCTTATACTCAAATCTTAACTAGAAAGCAGACGGTTTTCTATATTTACTTTTTCATTTTAGTTCTTTTACTTGACCAGTGAGTTGCTCACTGAACAATTCATAATGTAGAAGTATTTCAAAACTTCTTTCATAGCTCCAAGCTTATGAAAGCACAACATTTAATGATATGAATGAAGGTGCTGCATCTAGAGGGTTGTTTATTTCATTTGTCACATTAATTTTCATTTCTCTTAAACTTCAACACAAAAGCTCTCCCAGCAAGGTAATAAATACTAATCCTAATCTAAAGCAGGAAGCGCTGTTATGTCGCCACTCTTATCCAAAACACAAACGGATTCGCATGACATCCGAGAGTACCAATGATGGACTTTTAATTAACTTATTAAATCCAACGAAATGTTCAAAATATGTTGAAAAAAGAAAGGAAACATTAAATGATTTAACTGAATCGATTTAACTTGTTTTGAGTTTTGTACACAGGTCATGTACTTAAATTTGAATTAATCCGCTTTCATAATGATCGTAAATATTTTATTTACCTGTCTTAGGAATAAATAATTTATACTTTTAAAATGTATAATGCCAATAGATTCATAATTTTTTTCTGCACTATTTCCTGTGCGGAGTTACAATATAGGCAGATTACTCGCTCATTGAAGTTGCGATATCTACGGGGTATTAATAAATTTTGCGCTCGGGTAATATATAGACATGGTGCTAATTCAATGAATGATTTTACGAGAACTGTCGAATATTCATGAGACCGGCGCCCAATTGTGTAATAATATAATTCTTACTATAAAAATCTTATATTATGCCTTTGTGACAAAGAACTCCTTGATGCTTCTTCGTTAACAAAACAACGATAGCTTTCGTTTGGATGGCTGTTTACAAGTTGTGGCATGTATTAGCTTTGATACAATAGTTTATGCGCAGTGCATTTATTGGCGCGTGGTCGAGGGGTTAGAGTCGATTGCTAATCCAGTAACCTCTCTGGCGTGGGTTCGATCACCGGGAGATGCTTTGGTAGTTTTGCGCAAAGGAAGGTAGTCTAGTACTGGTATAACTCTCCAGGAATTATGGTTAGGAAACTACCCGCCTATATGACTTAAATACTGTTGGGAAAAGGCGTAAAATGAAACAAACAAAAGATAGCAAAGAACAACAAATTGAACATAATAAATAGAGGCCAAACAAACCACTCCAAGATACATTTTAAGAAAACATTATTACACAGTTAGTTTTAAGGTTCAATAAACGCAATTATTTGTAGTCATTTTAAATCTACAATTCATAATGTTAAAATGCAGAATGTAATTATATCAGTAATCATCTTCCATAAAACCACCACTGACCTTATGATGTAGAAATAGATTATGTTATATCATTTATGACATATATCATGATCAGAAAGATAGAAACTAATACATGCCTATTTTATAACAGTTTATGTAAAGATAAAGTCAATAACACAACTACGGTAATGAATTCACACACACCATGTTGCAAGTAACGAAATAATAATATTATATATACTCGTATAATATAATAAAGTTTTATTCTTTTCATTATATTATTCGGTCGTATGTAGTTTTAACCTTAGGAAACATGCGTATAATTTGGTTAAACAGATATTAAAAACAATTTAATAATTGTGCAATGTAATATTGTTTTACACCTAAGACAGAAACACTCATTCTGTGTTGTTTCAATTAACAAATATTTTATGTAAATGATAAATACATTCTGAGGAAGTTGAGTTTTTTTCTCTTTCATCTAGGTTATGCTAGGATATAATTGAAAGCACTGAGTGTACTCGTAATATAAGTATTGTTGTATGATATGTATTATGTTGTAATGAAAATAATTTTATTCAATAAAGTCTCAATACGATGTGCACTGGCAAAATGAAAATGACCTACAATTGTAATTAAAATTGAAAACTGACGATTAACGAAGAAATTTATAGTTTTTTGTTAGAGATAAATAAATATTATCAAAACGGTTAACTTATACACATGTTAATTTCATTTTTCTTAAAATGTAATGGAATGAACAGCTAGCTATTTAATAATTCAGATTTACTTACAAATCGAATAGGATTGTAAAAATATAAACCTACCGGCATTAAGATAAGCTATAAATCCAATAAAAAACACATAGACGCTGTTAAGTCTCTTCATGTTTTTAGTTTAATTTTATACATTCATTCCCAACCCAATAAGTTAAAGTTGTATTTAAATAAGGAAGTTTAAAATCTTAAAGCAACTGGAATACACATTGAACATATAATTTTTTACGACGCAATAGGTGGCATGGATGTACTTTTTTCATTCTGTGACTACATTATAATATCTCCTTCGCTCGACATAATGATCTCTTTTCACAGAGATCTTGCGTTCGTACCGACGATTTAATAATTTTTAGGTACTGCAGATCAAACATTTTACTACTTATTGCCAAAGATAACAAAGGTAATCAGCTCCTATATACTACATTGTAATATCACTCATGCCTTTCAAAAAGAAAATATATGCATTTTGTAGCAATTAAAATTTACTGGATAGGGATTCAATTCTTTTATACTAAACACCACTTGGAAGTAATTTTTTATATGTCACTGTACGTAAAAAATGTTTGCAATTTGATGTGCCTTTCAATTGATAAATTAGCAGAACATTCACAGGGAGTCAGTTTTCTCGATATAATTATACATAGTTATGTAACAACAAATAACTACAGATTCCGCTAAAAGTTATTCATACCCGTACAATCAACCTTTACTTATTGAAAAATAAGTGACTTTGACCTCTCTCTCTCTCTCTCTCTCTCTCTCTCCCTCTCCCTCTCTCTCTCTCCCTCTCTCCCTCTCTCTCTCTCTCTCTCTCTCTCTCTCTCTTTTGCATATGCTTGGTTAAGATAAATGGAACTTACTTTTCATATTTTATGCACCACAGTGTTAAAAGCTAGCAGACCTATTTTTAAAAAAGTATTACCAAATAGCCGAACATATGCTGCGGAATTTTTTTCATATCGCTGAAGGCTTTTGTCGTTGTTTATTTAAGTCGAAAGGTGCAACACGATAATTAGACAAAGTGAAGACAATACAATCCAGTCAGACACGCAAGTTTAAATTGTTTTAAAACTGATAAAATCGCTCTTGAAAATCAAGTGAAAACAATTTTCTTTTATGTTTTTTGTTAAATAAATTTGTGCATACTATATTGACAGTAGGATGCGAAATATAATAGCCCTTTAGGAAAAATTGGCAGCAAAGGTATCATGCACTTATAAAAAAAGGGTTAGTTATGTCTCTTATTTTGTCTTATTATAACCGTTATGATTAATAAAAAGAAAAAAACCTAAGTGGTCAATTGACTCTGAATATGCAACCGATTAACGCCACTCAGACCGATCTACGGCTTAAAAGATTATATCGTGAAATTGTATCATACACTTAACTTTTTATAATGGTATATGTTTGTTTAAGTTAGTTTAACGGGATATCTTTACATAATAACCGGTGTACTGGTGTAATTGTAAAATGTTGAATGAGCTCCGAAAAACTTTTGCGGGCTCAATTATTTGCGAATTATTTTGATTAGCAAAATTTGCAAATATTTCCACGTCGAAAAATTAACCCCTTAAACAGTTCTATCTTAATCAGTGAGCTGAAAACACTATGTTATTTCGAACTATGGAAGGTAGCAATAAAATGTTTAAACCATTGAAGATTTAAAGAAACCTTTTTGCTACGAATGTCAATGTATTATCTGAATGATTTATTACTTCTTATCTCTAGAAAATCAAACATCCTCTTTATTACTTCAATATTTTATCACGCTGTTTATCGACCTACATAATCAGGAAGTATTCTACATTGAAAGTTGTCACGATGTAAACATAACTATAACCCCCTAACTGAATACTTTTAACAGTATTAAGCCTCGTCAGGGACAGTCTCAAGCAAACAATTATATTTCATGATGTAAACTTATAACTGTCTGTTTGCAATCAGGTGCAAATGATACATTTTGACAGTTTCCCTCTTACATTACCTTATACCAACAACGCAACTATCTGCTCTACATTTCCCTCTGTAACATAAATGGTTTTGTTTAGGTCACAATCGTAGTACAGCGATCGTACTCTTGACCAATTTAATTGTGTTAATTCTTACTAATGAACATTGACCTATACTTAAATGCGACGGTAATCACATTTGAAACTGTTGGATGATAACATCAGAATGCTTTATACAGATTCATAGGGAATCATTCGTGAGATAAAAGCTTAACGAGAAGACGTTGTTACGTATAGACGGGTAGTGTTTCATACTAATATAATGTAATTTAATAAAAATATAATGTTATTTTGTAAGGTTTTGATTGTATGGTCTTACCGATTAAATCTCAATTAAGATTTAGTCTTTATTTTATAGAAGGTGATACGTATATATTTTAACCACGAGGCAGTTGAAATTACAGTATTACAAATATCTTGCTCTATCCATAATAGCGTTTATATTATTGTAACATGGGTATCAAAATGTAAAAGCATACATGTATATATACCAACAAACCTGTTAACTGTTTATTACTGAAATCAGTATAGTGCAAATGATAAATTTATAGGCTACTCTTTAGATGGTTATTCAATTTAAGGTGTTGTTTGTTTGATTGGGTTTTACGTCACACCGACACAGTATAGGTCATTTGGCGACGTTCCAGCTTTATTGTTAGAGGATGACCTCAGGTGCCCTTCAGTGCATTATTTCAGGCACAAACGGGCACCTGAGTAGAACCACCGACGTTCCGTAAGCTAGCTGGATAGCTTCCTCATATGAAAGAATAAAAAGTCCCTGTCGGGATTCGAACCAACAGCGGTGAGGGGCAAGTGGTTTGAAGTCAACGACCTTAACCACTCGGCCATGGACTTTCTTTAGGGATTCTTATTTTCTTTGTTTTATCGCCACCTCAGCGTTGTTTATGCCGTGTGGGTTGTGTTAAAAGGCCCCCCCGTACATTCAATCAGAGATGTTATATTTCCGATACTTGAAGATCGTTCAGCACGACAGGATTGTTGTGTTTGTGATATTTTTTTAATTTTACTTTTTTACATTTTTCTACTTGGGTGGTTCCAATATTCCTACTTAAATAATGTTGAATCGACCTTAGGATATGTTGGCTGATTTTTAATTTGTCTTTTGACGTCTTATCTGTGACATACTGGCTTCATAACCTCAGATCCCCTTTCATAATTCCATTACTCAATCTGTGTCGTGAGTAAAACAATTATTAACTTATCCCATGTTAAAATCTTACTAGAAAGAAACCAAAACAACAGAATAGGATTTAGGCATTGTATTTGACAACTTTCAATCGAGCAAAACAAAGAAAACATGTATATCAAAACATTTTAAACAACTGTATTCATAAATTTAAATATTAAATCATATTAAATAAAAAATAAAATAAAACCTGCCCTTTTAGACTTAATTCAGATTAGATTATTAGAAACCAATTTAAAACAAATAAAGTGTGAAAGTTATAAATCCAAATCAATAAAAGCATAAGAAAACAATATTTTTTGAAGTTTTACTTAAAATAATAATAATAATAATATATACTTAAAAGGAATATTTATCGATAGGAAGCTATGTTGTGTCCTGGAATGATGAACTTTTAATCTTTTAGACAAAAACAAAGCAATGGATAAGCCTTTTGGTTTTTGGCCACATTTACGGATTCTGAAATAAAACAATTAACTTTCTCAACATCACTAAACAAATGGATGAGCTATCTCAGCATCACAAAATAAATCGGTGAGCTATCTCAGCATCACAAAACAAATCGGTGAGCTACCTCAGCATCACAAAACAAATCGGTGAGCTATCTCAGCATCACAAAACAATCGGTGAGTTATCTCAGCATTACAAAACAAATCAGTGAGTTATCTCAGCATCACAAAACAAATCGGTGTGCTAGCACAGCATCACAAAACAAATCGGTGAGCTATCTAAGCATCACAAAACAAATCGGTGAGCTATCTCAGTATCACGATAAAATTGGTAAGCTATCTCAGCGTTAAATCAACTTTGAAAATAAATATTTATCTGCAAATGTGTGTGCTAAAGAAGATTGCAAGCATTTTTTATTTCATCCATGACGATAAATCGTTACGAAGAACTGGAATCAGAAGTCTTTTGTACTTTTGCAAACACAATAGGTCTTCCCATTCTCTTGACAAACGTCAAAACCCCATGTCAATCATCGTATGAAGCTATAAAACAAAACACAAAAAATAAACAACAACGGCAAAATATGAGTTGATCACCTGACAAATTCTAACAAACAATTTTATATTCCACGATTCAAAACTGAAAATTAAAGCCTCTGCAGCAAAATTAAATTATCTCAATAAACATGTACACTCATTTGCTGATGTAGAAATAAATATATTTAATATAAACAAATATAACAAAATATCTATAATAATTAATGATATCAAATGAATCATAAAAAATACAAAATAATACTTATCTTTAAATAGTATAGATATGTACGCTGTCTGTATGAAGCCTTATCAAATCACACCAATGATAATCTCATGATAAATATGTATTACACTTACACAAAATATAAGATTATCAACTAGTATTTAATTATTTAATATAAACAAACATAACAAAATATCTATAATAATTAACAGTTGAAATAATGATAACAAATGAATAATAAAAAATAAAAAATAATACTTATCTTAAAATAGTATAGATATGTGTGTTGTTTGTATGAAGCCTTATCAAATCAAACCGATGATAGTCTCATGATAAATATGTATTACACTTACACAAAATATAAGACTATCAACTAGTATATAATTCCACAATTAGATCAATCATTGAATGAATATAATCACAAGCATATCACTTCATATTATAAACACTTATTCAAAATGAATATATCATTCATAAAGCTGCACGAAATCACTAGATGTTAAGATTTCATGACACAGACAAACGTTGTTTCAAACTGTCTTTAACATATCCATCCTTAGCTGTCTCTATATTTTCCACAGTCTATCATAAGTACCAGAATAAGCACAAATACTAGCTCCACCTGACTTTTGTGAATGCAACCCGTATTGACGACTATCTTGTCCTATTGAAGTAAGTTTTTATTAAAAAGTTCCCGTGTTCTCGAGTAAGAAAGTGGAGCATTTTAACGTTTTAATACATAATTGTTATACTTTTTGTGCAACACAACAGCTCTAAAAATAAACTGATCCTAACATTCCATCAAACCGGCCTCTGTAATATATCTTTGTACTAATTGCACTGGACATGAAAACTTTCCAGTTTTT